AAATCAGAGAGCTGAAGAATTGATGCTTTTGAACTGGGTGTTGGAGAAGACTCTTGAGAGTCCCTTGGACTGCAAGGAGATCAAACCAGTCAACCTTAAAGGAAATCAGTCCTGAATATTCATGGGAAGACTGAGGCTGAAGCTCCAATACTTTGGCCACCTGATGCTGAGAACTAACTCATTTGAAAAGACCCTGACGCTGGGAAAAATTGAAGACGGGAGAAGAAGGAGATGACAGAGGATGAGATGGTTGGATTGCATCACCGACTGGATGGACATGAGTTTGAGCAAGTTCCAGGAGTTGGTGATGGACAGGAAAGCCTGGCTGCAGTCCACGGGGTCATAAAGAGTCAGACATGATCAAATGACTGAACTAAACTGAAGAAAGTATTAAGAAAGTCAATGAACAGAAAGTGTGCCAGCAATTGAAAATATGCAAACTAAGAACAAAGTACCACAATTTATAAAACAAAACATTAAAATATTATTATAACAGACAAAATCCCAGAAAATTTAATCAAAGAAGTCTATATATAGACAGACTGTATATATATATATCATAATTAGAATTAACAAGTGTTCAGCAAGTTAAATGAACAAGCTGAACCGACAAAACTCAACTGCATTCCTAACACATTAGCAAGAAATAGTCAGTAAAATGTTCTTAGGTATAGGGACAAAAAATAGGAAGTACTAAGGAATAAAACTAGCAAACGTATTAAGACCTTTCATGGAAAACAATGCAAAATGTAATTGAAAGATTGAAAAATAAACAGAAATGAAGAGAAGCACCTCTTTTAGATGGGGGAATTTTCAGTACCATAAGGATGTCTCCTCCAAAATTCAAAGCTGTCCCATCAAAATCACTAAAAGATTATCTGTATGTACAACATGAAACTCTGATTCAATTATCTATACCAAAAAGTAAAGGTCCAAAATGCTCAAAACTATTCTCTTAATATTAAGCAGAGATATGATATAAAATGTATACTTTTTGATAATTACTGGGGTTTCTTTGTGTACAAGTTATTTTTGTTAAAAAATCACCACACATTTTAAAAGCTTATGTGTTTTCTGTCTGCAGTACAAATTGCTTACTTATCATTTAAAGAGAATTTTTTATGGCAAAGTAAGCTGCTATTGTAAGGATGGAGTCCATTTCCAGACTCTCTGGGCCCATAAGAAGATGAACAATTGCAGTAACTAAGTAACAAAACTACTAGAGACAAATTATTCTTAAAGCTATTTGTAGAGAACTTCTCAGTCAAGGCAATTTTGAAAGAGAATAAGTGAGAAAATCTGTCTAACAAAATACCAAAGATTCCATCTAAAGTTAAATAATCATGAAGTAGTTATAGAACAACTATACAATGGGATGGCCATTGAAATCAAACCCGAATGGCCCATCTTTCTAGATTCTGTATATACGCATAAATACACAATATTTATTTTCATTTTTCTCTGTATAATATGCTCTAGGTTCATTCACCTCATTAGAATTGACTGCTGTCCATAGAGTCGCACAGAGTTGGACATGACTGAAGCGACTTAGCATGTGTGCATGCCTTGGAGAAGGAAATGGCAGCCCACTCCAGTATTATTGCCTGAAGAATCCCGTGGACAGAGGAGCCTGGTGGGCTGCCATCGATGGGGTCCCACAGAGTCAGACACGACTGAAGTGACTTAGCAGCAGCAGCAGCAGAACTGACTCAAACATGTTCCTTTATACGGCTGAGAAATATCCCATTGCATATATGTACCACGGCTTCTTTAACCATTCATCTGCTGATGCGCATCTAGGTTGCTTCCATGTCCTAGGTACGTAAATAGTGCTTCAATGAACATTGGGGTACGTGTGCAGGTTAGCAATGGAGACTTAGAGAGAACAGACTGTGGACACGGGGGAAGAAGAGGGTGAGAAAATGGAGAGAGTAGCCTGGAAACATACATACTACCGTATGTGAAATAGGTAGCCAGTGGGAATTTGCTGTTGACTCAGGGAGCTTTAACAACCTACAGAGGTGGGATGGGGTGGGAGGTAGGAGGGAGGGCCAAGAAGAAGGGGGCATATGTATACCTGTGGTTGATTCATGTTGATGGATGGCAGAGACCCATTTGATATTGTAAGGAAGCATTTATCCTTCAATTAAATATAAATAAACTAAAAAAGAAGTCATAGCAATATAAACTCTAAACAGTTCCTTAATTACAAAATGAAATTTATAAACTGGCATTGAGTTATAACAGAAACCATACTAATTATTTTTATGCCCAACTGTATTATGAACTGGGTTGTATTTCAATAATATATAAATGGCAAAAAGAATAATAAAACATGTATCAAGTACTTCAAAAAAAACTGAGAATGACATGGAATTAAACAGAAAGTTTAGAAACATATCTAAATATAGATGTTATATATATATACATACATATATATATATATATATATATATATATATATGTAGGGGTGAGAAATGGCAGTGCAAATCAGAATAAAAAGATGCACTCATCAATAAATGACACTGGAAAAGCAAGTGTCTCTTATCATACACACACCAAAAAAAGGTTACTTCCTCATGGCAGATTTAAAATCCATTTAGAAGGAGCAATGACCTAAATATTTCAAAGTAAAAAGAAGTGTCTATAAAGCTTTCTTTTTTCTAATATTAGAGTAGGGAATAATGTGTGAGTTGAGAATGGAAACACAAAAGAGAAGATAAATGACTAATAAATGTATTTCTGCTATTTATACCCTCTCCATATCAAATTTCCTCTTAGTTCTTCAAATTCACACTCATATTCCAACTTCTGGTTGTCCTAATCTCATTGCCCAGAATGTCCATCTAAATCTTGTTTCCAGCCTTTATCTCAGTCAACTCCAACTCATCCTTCGGATATTGGTCCAAATGCCCCATATCCTCAAGAAAGTCTTACTTGGCATCCCAACCTGAAAGTCATATAATTCCCCCTATCACCAGTTTGTGAATTCCTAGGATCTTTCTTTGTTAATGTTCATCACTGTTCATCTTAATAATTACATGCTTATTTGTGTGGTTGTTCAATTAACAGCTGGCTTCATGCACGATTTTGGCCCAGTGCTTAGCTTATTGATATGTCTCCAGAACCAAAAAGAATGCATAGGACTAATAAAGGCATCCCCAAAATAATTGCAGAATGAACAATAAAAGAAACTAGTATCAGTGGAAAGGTGAGAAGAGGAGTGGAAGAGTCTCTTGTATAAAATGTGTAAAACAGAGAGAGTCTGTTAGCTAGACAGAGTTTTCTTTGACATAATTATAAAAGAGACACACTATCATCTGTGTCACATCCAGTTGGTTAGAAGCAACTCACAGGCCATTACGTGTTTCAGGGAGGGAATTACAGAAAACTATGGATATTAGGTCTTAAGGAATATGCTGTTGTTGTTCAGTCACTCGTTTATGTCCATCTCTTTGCGACCCCATGGATTGCGGCACGCCAGGCTTCCCTTTCCTTCACCATCTCCTGGGGTTTGCTCAAATTCATGTCCATTGAGTAAGAATCACAGGGGACACCTTAAAATCTGTCTGCTACAGTATTTTTTAAGTTCTCTGATTTTAATCTTTCATATATGGTAAATGTTGTGCTGAAGGTCTCCATCACAGGATGCTCTTTTCAATAAATATAGCAATTATAGGATACCAGTATTTAGCAGTACTGTTATCATACTTTTGAACAACACAGTAAGGGAAGCAGTAGCAATAACTGCAGCAATGCAACTATTTCATTTTTGAGGAAATAGAAGCACAGAGCAATTATCTATACTCAAGATCACACAATCTGTAAGTAACAGAGCTAGACTCTTAACCCTGGTTTTCTAATAGTCATCCACATCTACAATTTACCACTTTACCTCACTGGGAAATACAGTGACAAACATTGGCTTCTTCAAACACAGCAAAATAGATTTCACTCCAGGAAACAATGAAAACCATTTGTGGCCTCCAAAATTTAATGTATCTTTTTACCTCTGATCGGAGGAAATTAATGACATTTTACTCCAGCCTTACAGATGAAAGAGAGCATAATTATTTTCTTAGTATTTTGTATTACCCTTTTCTATTCCATGCACTCCCACCCTACTCAGCTTTTCTTAGCTAGCTGTGTTATATCTCCCTCTCACAAGGAGTTGAATGAATTCTCTTCCCCTCAAAATGCCATGAAAATAAATCTGGGTCCATAGCTGACTTATAGCCTAATGATCCAGCTCTCCTCTTTCCACTGTATAATCATGATGTTTAAGGGAGTAGACAGCCTTTCTTTTGAAGAGTGAAATTCTCTAAACAATATAAATATATTTTAAGCCACTTTACACAGGCTTCCTCATACACACACACACACACACACACACAAATAATGATCTCTGTGCAAATAACCACATTTTACTCAACATGAAAAAGCATATGAATTTTTGTTTGATATTCAGAGTCAGTCATTTGACCTTTAATTTCCATAGGGTACTTCCTTTGTAGTCATTTGACATTTCTGGCATTTATCCTTGTTTCTTTGATATGTCCTGGTTGGAATGTTTGTCAGATTCTTTTGTGCTGCCTTCAATCGCTTAACTGGAGCAATGAACTGGATGGAGATCTATTTTGGAGAGCACAGAGCTTGGAGGAGTTGAACTTATGGGAAAAGAAGGCAAGTTTATGGAAACATTTTGATATATTTGAGGATGTGAACAGAGCTGATAGAGACAGTGTGAGCAGTAAAAGTGTCAATAGGAGAAAAGGGAAAGACAGAACAAAATACAAAGTCTTTACTAAAATTGTACTGTGTCCATTTCAAAATTTTGCTCAAGAAAATTAAAAAGTAATATATTTAAACAATATGGTTCTGAAAACAGTTGGAAATCTTGATAACTTTTTAGAATTCCAAAAGGTCAATGGGATTTTAGAGTAGGGGGCTACTTTTAAGATTATTATCTTTCTTCAAAGTAATCATAATTCACACTTATCTGAAGAACACAAATTGAATTTATTTCTTACCTGGACAAGGAAGAATTACCAGCAAAAGTAGTTTTCTTGTGCTAAAAAAAGAAAGACTGTTACAGGGTTGGGGAGAAGTGTGGACTTTATGTTAAATATAAATGGAGCACAATTTTGATTAGATATTAACAAAGGGAAAGAATTCCAAGTACAAGTTAACATCAAGTTTACCTTCCATCAATGAATGAGTGAATAAATGAAAGTCGCTCAGTAATGTCAGACTCTGTGTCTCCATAGACTAACCTGCCAGGTTCCTCTGTCCATGGAATTCTCCATGCAAGAATACTAGAGTGGGTTGCTGTACCTTTGTCCAGGGAATCTTCCCAACCCAGAGATCAAACCCAGGTCTCCCACATTGCAGGTGGATTCTTTAACATCTGAGCCACCAGGGAAACAGTTTCAGGGAAGATACAATATTAAAATAAATGTGCAAAGTTGGGTTGCTGTGTTTGCTATGAAAACCCTGAGCTCAGAAGTAAATCAGGACTGGAGATGCAGAGAGATAGAATAAAACTAAAGATGGATGGGAAGACAATGTGATCTACAAGGCTCAGATTATCTAGATCATTATGGAATATTCCATTCTTGGATTTGAAAAGATTAATACTCTTAAGTTGAAGTTTTAAGGAAAAAATTATCTCACAGCTAACATTTCTTATATTACAAATGAAATGGGATCACAGAGAGTCAAGGAGGTTAAACATTGACCAAAAAAGCCATTAAAAAATAATAACAACATCTAAAAACTACCAAAAAGGGAAAAGAAAAAGTATGCTTATTTTTTTGATGAAGAAATGAGTTTCAAGTCGACATCACATAGCAAAGCCAGTCCAAGACAAAAAATCATATCTAATTTAATGATATATCGAAGAATTGATCATTTAAAGCTGTAAAAATTGCAGGATTCCTGATTGAAGTATGAAAGAATTGGAAGTAATAAAAAATTTTAGCATATATTTCATAGATTTTTTTGGGGAAATATAGTCTTTTTGGAGAGCAAACTGATAATATATATTTCAATTAAAAATATCAGATCTCTTCCATAGAATTATAAGTACATACACATTATGATATTTGCTGCAGAAGATCTACTGCAATATCTTCTGGACAGTTACGTAATATTAGCAGTTAAGCATATACTCATCAACTGTAGAATGGTTGGACAAATTGAGGTTCAGCAATATCATTAAATAAAATCAGTTAGTTTTGTATCAGTTGATTTAAGATGTGTGACTGAAGCCAGAAATCAAGGAAGCAGTGTATGTAATGTGACCTCGCATAGTACAAAATGACCAAAATTTTCTACGATTTTTATGATAGGGAACTAGAGAAGGCTATGAAAGATTTTATAAGAGATTATTATAAATCCACGAACCTATGGTCACCTTATCTTCGACAAAGGAGGCAAGGATATACAATGGAAAAAAGACAACCTCTTTAACAAGTGGTGCTGGGAAAACTGGTCAACCACCTGTAAAAGAATGAAACTAGAACACTTT